TATATTAATCTAAATTAATTAAATATAAAATAATTAATTTATATATACAAAATAAAATTAATCTTTAAAATAAGTAATATAAAAAATAAAATATAATATAAATAATATAAAATAAAAATCTAAATTAAAATAAATATAATTCAATTAAATTTTTAATAAATTTAATTTATAATAATATTTAAAATAAAAGATATATTTATATTTAGTTATTATAATTATTAATTCAAGTATAATAAAAAAATTTAATAAGTATAATAATTTATATATAAAATATTAATTTTATATATTTTTATCTTTGAATTTATATAAAATACAAATAACTAGAAGTTCTTACTATTATAATTCTTATTTAGAAGTATTTGATAATTAATTTAAATATATTGAGTAAATAATATCAAAAATTAGAAATTAAACAATAAAAAAAATCAAGTATATTATTAATTTTTTATCATTAAAATCAAGCTTTATTTAATTAATATTAAGTATATTATTAACTATAGAATTATAATTTATATTATTATTAAATATAAAAATTATAATATAATTAGAAAAAATAATTTAAAAAATTAAATTACTTTCTCTATAATTTACTTGAGAAAATATTTAGTAATCTATTACTCTTCTTATTTTTTTTAAATTTAAAATTTTATGAATATTAAATTTTTAATATATAAAAATTATTAAGTAATATTATTTATTAAATATAAATAATTTTTAAATTTAATAAGTAATTTACTAATTCTAATATTTTTTTATAATGATAATTTTTTCAAAGATATTCAAATAATAAAATAATGATTATTAAAATAAAATAAATATTTATTATAAGTAATAAGAAAATAAATTCTTTTTTTTATTAAAAATATTATTAATATTATATTTAATATAATATAACTAATAATAATATTATTTTATCTTGTAATTAATTAATAAAAAATATTACTTTTATTATATTTAGATTCTGATAAGTAAATATAAATACTTTTAAAATTTGTATTTTATTAAGAAATTACTTATAATATTTAATAATATTATTATATTTATATCTATCAAAATAGATATCTCATAAAATTAAAAAAAAATATATATTAATATATTTATAAATTAATAAAAAAATAATAATTTATCTTTTTTATATATTATAAATATTAATTCAAGTTTTTAAGTTATATTTATATTATTTAAATTATAATTTGCTTTTTTAGATCAATTTTTGTAAATAATATAATATTAATAAATTCTTATATTTTTTAAAAGATAATTTATACTTTTTAAAATGAATAAATATTATACTTAATATAATTATATTCTTATTATCAATTATTAATTTAGTTTTTTGATAATATTTCTATTATAATCAGAAAAATTATTTATTTTCTACTTAATATCTTGTCTAATTTTGAATTATAATTATTTTATATATATTTTTATCATATATATTAGTTATAAAAGTTTAACTTAAAGCTATATATTATATATCTAATTATTAAAATAAATATAAATATTAAGAGATTATTATTTTTTAAAAAAATCAAATGCTATCAAATATATTTTATTATCTAAAAACTATTCTTAAATTCTTTAAGTTATTTATTAAAATTCAAATTATTTTTAATAAAGTTATTTTTTAATTATATATATTTAGTCATAATATTATATTTCATAATAATATTATTACTATTCTTATTAATATTTAAAGATCTATTTAATAAAACTTTAATATTTAGTAAGCAGCTTGATATTTTTAAAAGTAAATATATAAATATTATTTAAATTCTATTTGTATTATTTGATATATTCTAAATTTTTAAGATATAATATCTTTTATTTTTTGAAGACTTCTTTTGATTATTCTCATAAAATAATAAACTTTTTTGAATAAGAATATCTCATTTTTACTGAAATTTATAGCTTTCTTATTTGAATTAGTCAAGTACTAATCAGAAATCTTATTATGCTTAATAAGCTCAAAATCAATATCAGAATCTGAAATCTGGATTCAGAGATGAATCTAAATATTAAAGAGTTATAAACTTGAACTGCTAAATACTCAACTATCATAAAAAATACTCATTTATAGCATCTTATTTTAACTCAAGATTATTATTTTGTTCTCTGATTAAATATTTGCATCTTGTGGCACATAAATAATGAGCCAATCAGAAATAACAAACATATACATGTGATCAAACACGAGCGAATCAGATGTCTGTACGTGATACTGATAAATTTTTGAGTTTATAGTAAAACGAAGGAACTTTGAATTGCAATTAATTTTCTAAACAAGAAATTATGCAAAATGAATTGATAATTCTGATTTCTAAGCAATAATTATCGATTCAAATCTTATAAAAATAAGGGTGTCAAATTTAATAAGTCTTAGAAAATACTCACTTTTATATATAGATTAGTTTTGATTATAGAGGTTCCCCACTGTATTTTTACGGAACATTCTGATTGTTAATATGAGTCAGTGCAACCAACCAATCAGCAATGAGATTTACCTGTGCACAATCAAAAACTTGGGGGGGGGGGGGTAAAATTAACGTTAATAACCAATTTTTTTAATGACCGATTCACATTCGTAGAAATCTCTCGTGATTACGAAAATTCTGGAACAATGCGAGAAAAATCTTCACCTTCACAAAATTCAAACAAAAATTCTTAACTTGTAGTATCAGCATTGAACACTGCCTTCCCCAATAATAAGAAAATTCTTACTTTAGAAATTCCATACAAAAGTCCGTATCGCACGTTATCTCCTTGATCATTGAAATGATTACTTTTTTTACAAGAATTTCACATTTTGTATCGTACGTAATAATTTATTTTAGATTTTATTAATTTCTTTTCTCTTTGAAAATAGCCACACTCCTTTTGCAAAAATTCTTGCACAACTTCACATTTGTACTTTAGACCCGCGAATCTGTGAATTACGATCTGTAATTTAGATAATTATGTAATAACCAAATTGTATATAAAGATAGCTTTCGAAGGTCTGAGAGACAGGCAATGTGTGGTATGAAGAAAAAAAACTATTTTTAACTCTTACCTAACAGTGCTTTTGTTTTATTTTTTTATGCCATAATGATATTGATAACTTTATTTTCGAAACTTCTCAAGCATTTAACATTTGAAAAATATATTGTTGATGTGTTTGATAGAGCTAATTATAAAAACCATGTAAATATCAAATTTTTTTTCTGGATTATTGTAATGTGACATAATAGATAGTTTTCATAAAATTATGGCAAAAGACTATTTTTTTTAATATCTGATAAAAAACAACATTTTCGTAAAATTCCAAATAAAATCCATCTTTTCAGACATTAAAAATTTTGCTGGCTTATAATCAGAACTGATTTTTTACATGGCGTCTGAGACAAGAATTCAATTTGAGTCACAACATAGATGTTTTACCAATTTGCTTTAAAAGAATTAGAAGAATATTAAAATCTATATTTTTACTAATTAAAAGATGTTAATTCAATTAATGTTGGCCAATTTCATGGAGACCATTTTTCAAATGGAAATTTAATAATAGAATCGAGGAACACTGCAATTCAATGCTATCCTATATTAAATAGTATATTTTCTTGTATTCAATTTATAGTAGATAAACATCAAGATGTTTTTATATTTAATTTATGAGCTACTATGAGTTAAAGCTATTAATATAAAAATTAACATTTCCAAATAATACGAAAAAGAAATTAAGATAAAACTTTTAAAAATTAAATTTTGTGCCATTTAATTCTGAGCCAATTTTTTAAGTTCATCTAATAGGCTCGTAAAAAGTAAAATTTTAATTGTAAAAAATTGATAAACATTTGCTTAAATGAACATTTTTTAATCATGCAAAATTTTCTTCATTATAATTTTGCTAGAATATTATTCAATCAAAAGTTTTGTCAAACTTTTAAATTGGGAATGGTGTCGGATCCTAAAATTTCAAAAACTAACAATTAAAAGTCTATCGCCATTATGTACAAATAAAATTATTCAATATATTTTATTTAATTCAATTAAGTCATGATAATGAAATACTGTTTATTGATCTATGCTGTATAATGAGAAGTTGTGTAATCGTGTGCTTTTTGCGTGTTCATTTGTGATTTGTTGTACGTACGTAAACGCACTGTGATCAAAATACAATAATACCAATTATCAATTGTATGCATATTACGTATTTTGTATTTAAAAACTTATAAGGTTAATACCGAGCAAAATTATTTAGAATATTAAATATAATGTATTATATTCAAGCGATCCTCTTTTTTTTTGATTTTTTGCTAAAAACATGTTAGCACCGTCGCAGTACACACATACCTCACTCGAGACAGAATTTACCATGCTAGGTACACGAGTTTTAATCTACAGCATTATAGTACATGCATATAAAATGCAAAAGTTTTTTATATTTGACCTTTTTACTTGAAAACTTCATTAGGAAAATAAAGTTTTATTCCTAGTCAACTGGTTTTTCAAATAACTAATAATACATGTATTTTATATTCCATTTAGTATTATTCTTTGGAAAGATAATACATGAAACTTTTTTAAGAAAAGAAAGTGTCATCACTTTTATTGATAAAAAACGTGTAATACACTGCATACTGATACCATAGAATGATGAAAATCAACGTCATATTACACTGAATACAATATAAAAAATCAATTGATCATCGTGGCTGATGAAAACCGGAACCATTGTATTTCTGGAAATAATCAAGATGATCACTCTTCGTCGCTCGTAACATACAAACAATACGTGTAGTGATAAATAATTTGCCACAGGGGCGCATTGAAATCGGTTATCAAGAAAGACTATTGTTGTGGCAAACAGATTGTTTTTCTATTAATCATCGTAAATGGATAAGATGTGCGTGTGTGTTTTATTATATATTTAGAACACTTCGCTCCTTTTCCCACAGTGTTTATCTTTACAAAAAGTACAATTACAACCACAATAAAAAAAAAGTTACGATTATAATAATAAAATGGCTTTTATACAACAAACATCATCTCAATTCTCCTCTTGTTTTGGCGAAAAAACACTTTTTACTACATCAACAGGAAATAATAGTTCGTTTTCCAATGAGTTGGCTCGCGCACAAATGTTATTAGAATATCTAAACATCAATGAACAAAAAAAGACAATTAACGAAAACGAATCCTGCTTTGATCCCAACACATTACATTTTGAAGATTTCGATGGCGCATATGTCAAAGAAGAGACTGCCGCGGAATGTTATCATCCATTCCACGAACAGAGCGATTATTTCTGTCAAGAATATTCAAGTGATTACTATTCAGACGGTAAATCTTCAACTGACGATGAAAGTCTACACACAATCAACGATGACGATGATGGTTTTATGCGTCCTTTCCATCAGACCATAAATTCAGAATATACCTGCGAACATAAAGATAATTACGATTCGTATGTCTCAATTGATGAATGGAAGAAAAATTCACTTTATGACGATGAAGAGGAGCTCATTTCAAATTTTGAAATGACCTCCCAAAAACGGTATCGTATCTCTATGGTTATGCATTACGAGCGACAGCTACGACAAATGGAACAAGAAATGGAGGATCGGTTAATTGAGCAAGAGGTCTCCGAGTGGATGAGCTCTTTGGAAAATTCTACCACCACAGATTTTGAACAATATTAAGCATTTCATAAATTTGTAAAACAAGCATTTTGATTTTATTGATATCAAAAAAAAGTATTTAACTGTATATAATTTTCGTCGAATAAGGATATTCTTAATAATATGTAAATAATAATATTTATCATTTAAATTACCAATAATAAAACTCCGAATATTTTCATTTTTTTTGCATAAATATTGTTCTTGTCTTTTGATGTCCTATTTCTCTTGTTGCCGAAATTTGGAAATTTATTATCAGTTGACATCACGATTACTGCAGATTATCTAAACGATCATCAACGATTTTGGTTTGTTTGCTTGAACGAACATACCCTATGTTTTATTTTCTCGAGCGGAGGTTTGTTTGTTCATCAGTATTTCCGTCCGTTGATCAACCTGTTGTTGAATGTTCACAAATAGGTTCTTTGAGAATATAACGATAACCATTGAAACGGGGAATTGTTTCAAACCTTATTTGCTCTCATACCCTAGTATGCGGAAATGCTTTAGAGGCGATATGTGAGCTGATGAACAAGTAAATAGTGACACATGCATTACACCAAAAAAAATTTAAATTGTATGTATGCTAGGTTAAAAAATCCATGCAATAAAATGGATAATTATACAAAAATTAGCTCATTATGAATCTGCTGTTTCCTCGCATCGAATTTTATACAATAAAAAACCGATTCTTCAAAATGGGCGAAAATATTATCTAAGGGGTTTCATTTTTCTCGATAACTTGTGCATGCGAAATGGGCGAGAATATTATCTAAGATTTTTCATTTTTCTCGATAACTCGTGCATGCGAAATCCTGTGTATGCAAAATTCTGTATATGCAGAAAAAAAGGTAAAATTCGTTTATGCGCAAAAAAAAAATGGGCAAAAGGAATTTCGGTTCCATTCTACCTTTAATGGAACCATTATGTCTGGTTTTTCGCTACGAAGAACTTGTATTTTCTCTGACTGGTGCAAAGAATGGTTGCACGGACGAATAATAAAATAAAAATTTTAAGAATATTCGATGGTAACAAAGCTCCTTTCATTGTTATCTTACGTTTCAAGACGCTTTGTATTCGCTTTTCTTAAATATGATGGTTTGAAAATCTACTTGATTTATTAAAACAAACAGAAACTAAATATCGCAAATCTGGGAAAAATTACAAGATTTTCCGCATGTTTGTTTGCAATATTAATTTAAGACCAGCAACAAGCTAAAAGGAAAAACGCCCCACCCGATGCAATGAAAATCATAGTGTATTTGGAAAGTTACTGGTTTCTCAGAGTAAACGTAACGGTAAAACAAGAGGATGTTCATGTTTAAGGTTGTATTTGTTTTACATAACACGAAAATACATGTACTCCCATTCTCCCCCCCCCCCCCATGTAAAGTTCACCTGTAAACTATTGATCAGAATTTAGTATATTTACATTATTTTGATAATTTTATCTAATGTTTAGTTAGAATTCAAAAAACTAAAAGTTTATTATTGTATCTATCATTTAACTATTAGACCTAGTGAAACCTAATTTTGAATCACTTTACACACGTATTTTGGATTAGAGCCCAAAAAAAAAAATTTATCGTTCATTATCATTATCCCATTTTTTATGACAAAAAAGAAAAGGTGCATTCTCATTATCATGTACGCTAGGACTTTTGCGATTTTTCTAAGGTATCAGAAGTGCGTAAAGTATGTGCAATAAACGCCCCTTTGTTTTTTCGCATGCGAATCCCGGTTTTACGATTAGTCATAAAAAATAAGGAAAAAATTCCTGTTAATGTACTTCTTTGACTTTACGATGACATATATGCTAGATTTTTGTGCATAATTAATGATGAGGAATGATAAGAAATAGAAAATGTATTTTTAGAAATTCGTATCATAAGATGTTGTTCTAAGATAAAAGTTTAATAAGACAAAAATAAAATAACGATTAAATTCGGAACTAAAAGCCCGAAGACCCTACATGCAATGTAGAAGATCCCGTACACTATGAAAGCCTTGTTTACCTAATGTATCAAAAAAACTTTTTTATTACGCTTTTGATTCAAGATCCACTGTAAACCAAGCGAGTTTCATCTGTATGTGCTCTGTCAGCGTGATTTTGTTGTACATGGTGTACGCATAGTGTGTGTTATGATACATGTACGTAGATGTAATATTTAATACGTAGATGTCGAAATTAGAAAGCAGGCAGGGTCTGGTCTAGTCAACTGTAGGGTATCTCCCTTCAAAAAAAAAAGGTCGTTTTACTTTTGGGGTTCGTAATTGATCAAGTAATCGAAAGTTCACAAATCTTTGAGACCGCATGAGTCAAAGAGATGTCTTGTTTATCAAATAAAGAAACAGTTTTCGAAAAACAGGAAATATGAAATTTTTTTCTGTTATTTACCCTCACAAACAAATAATTGATGCATATAGTGCAAGTACAAGATTAAATATCTAATGGGTAAAGATATCAACATACTTCAAAATTATTGTCTCCACATTTTTAACTTCCAAAAATGACGATAGAAATTTGTGTTTAAATTAAAAAATAAGGAGAAAACACAAACAATAAATTAAATTGCTTTTAAAAATTACCATTTTTAGAGTTTTAGTTTTTTATTTAAGTTTATACGAGGAGATAAATACGAGGGCTGCTGCATTTCTCTTTATTGGTTAAAAAAAATCGCTGTGAATATGCAAAAATCGAGATTATGTGGGCGTTCAAAACACAGACCATTGCATATACAGTACATTCACTATTTCTCTCGAATACGTTTCGCTGGCTTCTTCATTATAAAGACAACGGTGAGATAAAGAAAAACTCGGGATTCGTCGTCGTCGTGAGAAAAGCATTCAAAAAACATCAAATGCATAAGACACCAAAAAAAAATGACGATGACATATAATCCGATTATTTAGTATATTACGTTGGTTTTATTTAATAAACGGGGCAATATTGCAATGATTTTAACTCTTTTAGGATGGGCCGAATATATGCATATATGTTTTGAAGGATTGTAACTGGTAAAAAATCAAATCACATGAATTATTGAATCAGCGTGCATTTTTTCTCATCAAATGAAAATTGTATTTCTTGGTCATTAAGTGCGTAATTAATAATTTCATCCCTTCAATTACGGACTCATAATGAGGGAAAAGTATAGGCTATAAAGATTGAAGATTTTAAATGTGACTTTAACCTATACCGTTACTGTACCCACGCTAGAAGAAAGTTCCACTAACTTGAACAGACGATTGACAGCGCAAATCTCTTTTAGGCCAAGAGCCCAACCCTTATCTAGAGTTCTATAACTGCCTGATGTCTTGGAAAAACTAAGTTAGTGTGTTTGTTGTCGAACATATTTTTGTAAAAATTAGATTACGTATGCAAAAATGTAAAAATGTATTTTCGTGTCTACAATAAAATATATTTTTTTAAAGATTTCGCATATGCCTAATTAAAAAATTGTGAGAGACAGAAATTAAAACTGAACTACACGACATTTTTGTTTACTTTTTAATAATAGTAAGCGGAAAAAATCAAACAAACGTAAATTTACGCTCGATTGTTCTTTTTGAATCTATAAACAATAGACCATTGTTCTTTTCGGTGGGGGTACTTATGTCAAAAGACCGATACAAATATTAAAAATTAGCAACAAACAATTTTCGATGATTATGTTTTTTCCATTGTCTCTTCATTATTATCCACCGAGCGCAGCCATGTGTAAACAAATAGATTAGCAAGGATATGAAAACATTCGATTTAAATAGATTCTTTTGTAAATTCGGCGTAATGAAATGTCTTTTTATCTTTATCTGCTAAGTGATCTAAAATTTATCGGTCGCTACACATTTACTTTATTTCCATGCAAGAAAATGCTTCAACGCAACACGTAATAAGGCGTTTTTGCGTAGCGTCAAATGATTCATTATTTCTCGCGAAACAATGATGCGTCAATTTTTGAGCACCCGAATATGGAAATTTATAGAAAACTAAAAGAAAAATTCTAGATAATAATTAGAACTTGCCATTGTTTTACTTCATACACGGCACGGAAAATCCCATTTTACATAACATGTACATTAATCCTTTTCACTCGATCGATTTCGCTCTATTTAGTGGCATCAGTCAAAACTCATCGTCGTCATTTCTGATGTTTGGTGTGTACACGTATAACGATAAGTTTCAATCATAATAGCAAGAACAGTTGCACAACAGATGTCAATCGAAGATTTTATTTTTTTCGCCGTTTAAGCATCTTTTAGTTTATAGTTTTAACTCGTGTGTAATACAAAATTTAACACTCGTTCGTTTTCAGGATAAACGCACCGCATTTTTTTTTTCGAGATGGATAGCTTTTATCTGAACACGAATAGAATAATTTCATTGATAATATAATACTTTTATTAATAATATAATACTTTTATTACTTTTTGAATATGCAATAAATGATACAATTTTATACATAGATTAAATGATTAACTAAACGCTAATTAATGGTCGAAATGATTTTCTTTCTGAATAGTGTGAATATTTACATTGTGAAAGAAAATAAAAAAAACAAATAGGTAAAACATGGAAAACCCTCGGTGTTAATAATGTTTAGTTTGCAAAAATATATTTTTGTTATATGATTAATAGTCAAAGTCAGCATCTGCCACATCGTCTTGATTTTCTTCGCATTCATCCATCCATCCCATAATCTCTTGTTCAATTAACCGATCCTCCATTTCCTGTTCGAGCTCTCGTAATTGTCGTTCATATTGCATGACTTTTGAAATTCGATGGCGTTTCGCCGAAGTCAATTGGAAGTTTGAAATCAATTGATCTTCATCGTCGTATAAACAATTCTTTTTCCATTCGTCGATTGAGGTGAAATCGTCCTGCAAACTTTCGTCATCGTCTGTTGATGATGACTTTCCGTCCGAGTAATCGGTACTGCCAAAATCTGAGTAATAATAATCATCATCGTAGTTGCTGTTATTTTTTGATGATGAAACCTCATCTTCGCAATAGACGCCGTCAAAATCTTCAAAATGTAACGTGTTTGGGTCAAAAATTTTGGTTTCTTCAGCGGTAGTGTTATTATTGTTATTGATATTCAAATATTCCAATAGCATTTGCACCCGTGAAATTTCATCGACGGGAAATTGTGAGTCATCATTTAATGTCGACGCACAATCGGCAACTTTCTTTTGACCATGAAAATATGGATTTGGGTTTGGATTAAAGATGTTGTTTTTGTAAACGTTCTCATGTGTTATCATTTCGGGATATGAGAAAAAATCTGCTTGGTGTTGTATGAATGCCATTTGGTAGAGTAGATATTTTTTTAGAGCAAGTTAAAAAGTTTTGGGAAGAGAGCTATTTTTGTTTGTAGTAAAGCTTTATCGAAAGAAAGTTGATGAAAGATGGTGCGAAACGACTGTCATTATATATCTAAACCAAACCATCCTGTTATATCTCGTAATCCAGTGATCAATTACTTTTCATTAATTAATAATAATACTAATACATATACATGTATTAATGATTGACAAAAAAAAAACTTTGAACAGTTTATTTGTTTGGAACGCTCAGATACATGATTAATCATCATTTTATCACCACGAGTACTGACAAAAATGATAGAAACTTCGGTGTCAATATAAATTGCGATTATTCGTTCATTTTAAGTAACATAAAAAATAAAAGTAACCAGTAAGCTACGAGTGTTTCAAATTTCCCAAGACACAAGTATACAAGTATTGTCAATCAAAAGATTTTCGAACCCCAAAATCAAATAATAAGTTTGTGAGAGGATCTTCCTTATTTGTAGATTAAAGGGCCCGAGACATTATCATTACACTCTCACAGAGACATCCTCCCCCCACCAAGAAACCAGTTCTATACCTGGATAAACTATTATTAACGAGTTTCTAGCGAGAATATTGATTTACATTTTATATTAAGTTGGTATTTTCTATAATATAAATACGTACAGTATATATGTAAATAAATAAATATAATATGTTATATAAATACATGTATATAAATCTATAAATATTTTAAATATTTAACATATAAATATTAAATATACGGATGAAACAGGTTGATTATTGACACATAACCGTCAATAGAAACGAACATTGTCAAATGACTCGAGAAGCAGTCATTTTCTTTATTTCTTAACGATTTACTCTTTACGGTATACAGTATACTGTAGCTGAAACTGTTTGCCATTTGCCAAGGATCTTTAACAATGATGCATTACTCACACGCACACATAACATACATTGAATAAGGTGATCACTCATTCGATTCGGAAAACCCAATATATATTATATTATAATCTATTATATAATATATATATATATTTATTATATATATATATATATATATATATATATAAAATAGAAGTTGATAGCTTTTGAAAGAAAAAGAGAAATAATCTTCGCAACGCAAAAAAATTATGTTTTTGTTGAGAAAAAGAAAAAATAAAAACGAAAAATTTTTGCTTTTCTATTTATTTCTAACTATCTATTGCAGAATTGTTTGCGTTTTTGTTTTGTTGTAATATCATTATTACAACCGAGTCTATCCCAAATAGAGTTTAAACAATGGGGTAGAGGTGTTTGTAAGTGAATAATTCGAAATATTACCTAGTTCTGAAAGCTTGCTATGAATTTATTTCAAATTATCTATATTTTTTCTAATATTTGCAAGGTGCAAAAGAAAATAGATTTACTGGCACTAAATGTATTTTACTAATTAATACCTTTGGATTTCGGAGAGCATTTAGTATGCATATTTAAAACGCCCACATAATCTCTCATATGTCACATCTCTCGCATATTTCGTCACATTTGCACCAATCAAAAATTTCCAATCTTATTTTTTAAAGTTCGAAGATCTTTCCTAAAATTTATGCTTTATTCTATGCAATCAAAAACGACGACGGAAAGATTTTGTCATGATAAGACCCTGGCCAGTTCAAAGACATTTTATGGCCCAAAAAAAAATTCGAAAGGATTTTTATCGACGAAATAATCATTCGAATCGAACGATTTTTGATTTCTCCACTGTTCCGCAGTATTCTGACGATCAAACGCATCAAGCATCCCCTGCATTCACGGTATATGGATTTTATTTTTTGAAATACCTGTAATGGATATTTTTCAAATTTGGTCGGCAAAATTTCAGGGTTATTTGTATTTTCCGAAATACATGTAACAAGAGTTTCTCCGCCCGATTGGCCTGTGCGTGATCCAAAAATCCCATATCAATGTTTTTCCAACAAACAAACAAACAAGCAAAATAATAGATAGAAACTTATCACACAAAAAGAAAAAGGAATATCGGGGGATTTTTTGATACAACATGTTTTTGTATGGATACTTGGAATGTTTGTTTTGCTTTTCTAGCATAGTTAGAAAGAAGAGAATTTGGCGATTCTCGAAGTGGAGAAAAAGGCGAAGCGTGCATGAAATGAAAGACAGATTTACATACATAACCGGCGTATTTTAATAGTCAGTAGAGTTTTTTGTTTGGATACAAAGTGGTTTTGGTGCAGAGGAAATCTTTGTTTACTGAAACAAACACATTGTTGATTGCCAAGTATAGAGTATTCTTGCAGAGAAACCTAATTGTTAAAGGGCTAAATCTGAGTTATTTTTACGCAAATAAGATAAATTAAACCGTTAAAATAACTTAGCCATTAGCCATTAACGTCAATGTATACTTATAGTATTGAAAGGTCGCACAAAAATATTTTTTTGAAAATTTGAAGATTTCGATCGAGATGCAATAAAATCGAAGAAATCGAAATTTTACTTGGGCGTTTTTATTTATTATGCTTACAAGCAGGTTTTTTTTGAATTTATTTTCGCAGGAAAATTTCGAATCTTTGCTATGCAAGGAAGGCATTTTCTTTTATATAAACATGCTCTTTCCATTTATAATCTTAAGCATCAAAGTTGCGTCGTCTTCGTATTATTTCTAAGGCGGTATGGCAATAGATCAATTTTTTTAAAAATATGTTTAAATAAGATATAGATAGCAAACAATATTTTTTCAGAAAGTTGCATTTGGAAATAATCATAAACCTTATATCTCAAACAATCAATAATGCAATGCAAAAACGTGTTTTAACGCACAAGATTCATACGAGTTTTAATAAGATTGTAATGAAAATGCTTTCCCGGAAAGAAAACTTTATATTCAATTTGGAGAGTTTTCGTAATTTTTTTACGTTAGCTCATATCTTCATAGCCACCCATCACAAGACGTTACCATCGGTATTTTATTTCTCAAATACTTTTAAGAACTTTATGATAAATTGCACATTAAAGTTTTTATTTTGATAAAACAATTTAAGGCATACTCTGAACATTTCGTTTCTTTCAAATCGAAAACTTCTTTATTGTAAACACAGATCTAAAGGCATAATACGTATAAATATATTTATTATAATAAAGTGAGCGAAATTAAATATTGCTTTTACTCGTTTCGATCTACAATGATAGAAGACCGCTTTGATAAAATACGCACTAAAACTGAAAGCATATATTATAATCACATTATCATTATTTTATTCCTTATAGAAATCAAATTTCGAAATAAAGCTGAATTTTTCTATAAAAAAATTCTTTTATTCTTGTTTCAAAAAAACGAAAATTCCTTCGGAACCTCTTTCATTATTACATGGTTATAAAACCTTTCAAAAAAACTTATTATTTTGCATAATACTAAACTTGATGGTGACAACATGTATTTTACATTATATGTAAACCCATTTAATTAAATAAATGTTCGGATGCATTTCTACGTTAACGTTAATGTATTTTAAAAGCTTATTTAATTATGGTCGACTAAAGAATAAGTTTGTTCTTTAATGCTGTGATAAGTTAACTAAAATCACGAAAATGTACAACTAAAACGCGAAATTTGAACAACAAAAAATATTGCAAGAAACTGAAAATAATTTCCAAGAAACATTTGATCACTCAATTTCTATACTTACACAACTGAACAAAGATTTTAATTTTGTAATTAAACAAATCTATGAATCTCGGAAACGAATACTCTTATTCAACACATCCACTTTTCGAACACTGACTTATTCTCAAAAAAATCATAAATGAGTTTATTGATTTGGCCTTCATAATTTGATTATACTGCTAGTGCATTAGAATCAAAAGCAAAAACTTTGTAACAAAGAAAAATCAGTGCAAATAAGAAACTAAACAACCTGATTTACTCAAATTCATGCATTTCTCAGGCACTAGTAATTTTATTCAGAAAATGATTAAATTAATTCTTCGTTCCTTTGGAGAATATTTTTGTTCTAATCATTCTTGAGCTTTTACCATTTTTTTATTTATATTAATATACAATTAATCTATAAAAAAAGATAGGAGATTGACGTTATTATTCTAAATATTTCAAGAAAAAAGATAAGAAATTATTAATGTTCTAAACTATTTCAAAGAAAAGAATAGGAAATTATAATAATATACTGGTTATTCCAAGAAAAAAATACAGAAATCATTAGAAATAAGATATTATATTCTGATTAATCTAAGAAAAAGATTAGAAAATTATTAGAAAAATAAATATTTAGAAATTTATAGATTATCTAGATAATATATAAAAACTTATAGAAAAAAAACTGGATGATAATATATTTTCAAAATTTAAGATTCAACTGAAAAATTATTAGTGAGTTATATAAAGAAATAGAATAAGTTTTATTTTTGAAAGTAAAAAAATTATTCGGAAAATATCAGAAAGTCATTCTTTTTCTGATAAATTATTAGTACAAATATTAAATTTTGTATTTCATTTTCTTTCACTTTTTTCAAATTAATAATAAAAATTACTGAAGAGATAGAATATTAATTTGCTTATAAATATATAAAAAATAAATAATAATTACTAACTTTTATATAATAAATTATAAATTTGATAACTTTTAATTACAATTTTTTTCGTCTTAATTAAATAAAAATTATATTATAAAAAAAATTTTAAATTAAATAATTAAAATATATATTAATTAAGAAAATATATATAAAATTAATATTATTAAATAAAAATTATTTTTATTAAACTATTCTAGTTGTCTTGATATTTTTTAATTATTAAATCAAGTTATTAAATTTTAGTTGGTTTTTAATAAATTCTAATAAAAAATTATTTTTAAATACCTAATGATAAATAAATTTTTATTAGAATTTGTAAAATACTAACTAAATTCATATATAATTTGTAAGAAATACTTATAAATATATAAAAAATAAGAATAATTAATAATTACTAACTTTTATATAAT